AGCGACGAGCAAGTTTGCGAAGTTGCGTGGTGAAACGTTGATGTAATAAGTCGACATCACCGAAGTACTGATCCTTCATTGATGCGGCCATGATTTCCATGTCAATGTCCGCATTGATGCGAGAAAACTCATCAACCATTACAGCATGTCCATGTGCTCGGTGTATATGGTGATCATCGATGTCCAAACAGCGACACGGAAAGGATGTTTCAGGAGTCCATCTGCGCTGCCATGTGCGGTAGTTGTAGATCTTGTCGCCCAACGTGGCACTGCGAGTTTCCACCACCCGGATCTTTGGAAGGAAAAGAGAAGGGAACAAATCCCGATGAGAAGCAATCCAGCTTTGTAACCATGTGCCAAGTAGAGCTTTCCAATTCCGGACATGTAGAGGCGGTAGGAGTAGTTGTGTCAAAGTGGTGGGTGGTTGTAGCCGTCGTTTGCGTAACACCTGGGCGAGGAGTTTCTGCGCCTTGGAGCGGAAGGGCTCGTTGACAAAGACGGAGAGCCGCAGAAAGTAGTACAGCTGAGTAGGAGGGAAAGCTGCCGACAGTAGGTCACGCATGGCTTGGAACGATGTCCTGTATTGGATCCCAGCTGATAGAGAATAGAGTAATGGGCCTGAATGTCATCCAGCATGTCGGGTCGTAGTTGCCGTTGGAGATCCGGATGTAGTCGTCGTCGAAAGCGTTTGTGCAAGCCGAGGGAAGTGGGAGACGACAACGAGTGACGTCGAAAATCAACGAGGTGTTCCCGGAAGCCCACCTTTCGCAAAAGTCTGTGTACCCAGGGTGCGTTCAAATGCGGGCGTAGCAGGTATTGCCATTTGCTTTCTTGGACCCAAACCGAGGAAACGGGAAGTTTGATCTCAACCGGAACAGCACAGAAGAGCCAGTAAGTATTGGATCGCTTCCAGTAGTGAAGCGCGGGTTCGAAGAAGGCATGACGTCCTCGAAGTAGTTGTAGAAATTTGCGACTGCGTGAGTGTTCACGTCGTAGAACATCCTGATCAGTCGCACCAACGTAGTAAGGTGTGTGCCATGGGGAAAGTCGGATGTAGACGCACGGTTGTTGATGATGACCTGGGTCGTGGATGAAGTCATAGAGGTCAGGAAATCGTGCCCGCAATGAGCGAAGATGTCGCGTGTCGGCAAAAGTGGAGTGCATGATTTCACACAAGAGAGAAGCCTTGTAGAAGTGAAGGACTTCAAAGAACGGCGGAAAGTAGCCATGATCTTGGGAAATGAGACGTTGTAAGAAACTGATCAATAAATAGGCAGTGCACCGACATCTATGAATCTCATACCTGTTGGCCACAGTGTGCTGAGAGTGTGACATAGCGTGATTTGGAATCTGAAGGGCAATCCGGACCACAACTAAGACTTCGAGAATGAGGCCCAACCACGGTAGTTGTGTGATTGATTCGTACTCATCAGTTGGTATCGACGGTGGTGGTAGTCCAGGGAAGCAGTATTGCCAGCACGTAGAGAACATGGTCAACGAGTGTAAAAAGTTGTCCAGAGACTGCCATTGTGCAACAACATCATAGATTCCACAGCGGCGAAGCTCATCCAACATGGTGAAAATGCAACCAATGAAATCTACCATAAGGCGGCGACATGGATACAAGCTGCACAGACAATCACACACAAGGCAATGCAAGAACAATCAAGCACAAGATCAAACTGGTGCAACGCAGAAAGATGACGGACGAGTTTTAGCCTTGACTCATCCGTGACATGGTTGCCGCTCCGGGCTCATAAGAGAACGAAGGTCGTTAAGATGCCTGCTCATCCGCTGAGTAGGCGAGCGGTCACGATGAGGTGACTCAATGCCTTCTCAGTGAGCTTGGTAAGATAGCCGGGCTCCAGTCCCCACGAAGCCGCCATCGCCCCGAGAGTAGGTGCGTCGCCTTTCGGCATGCGTTGACGCGCTTGAAGGAGCTGCGTCGCCATGGAATCTAATGACTTGTTGCCGTTGAGCCGGGACGGGTGATTGGCCCACTTGACCAGTGACGCCAAAGTCGTGGTTGTGGGCGATTGCTTGAGATAAAGGCGAGGCTGGTCACTGGTCCATGTGTAGTACTTGACAACTTCATCCGGCGTGCTGTGCATGGTGAGCAATTGTGACGCCGCCGGCTTGGACGGCGGTGACGACACTCCGTGAAGAGACTGAATGATCCGAGGTTGCACCGCGCTATCAAACGACTTGCCATCAAGGGCCGCTGCGCTGGCTGTAGGAAGGGAGCTGGCAGGTGACGAGGATGGTGTGTGGTTGACCGGTGGCGGTGTAACCAACTCTGCATCATCTTTCTGGCTTGCCATCGTGGGAGAGGTCGAAGCGCGCAGCGATGCTGAATACTGAGCTTGGAGCAGTTCATGCGCACGATTTAGATCATTGTACTTCTTGACCATGTCATCTGTCTGGGTGGCAGGTTGAGCGACTGTGATCGTCGTAGTAGTTTGGAACAGGTACTCCAAAGTAAGGCCTCGGTGCGAGTGCGAAAGCCTTCCCACGTCACGAATCTGCCGTGAGCGAACGGTCGGAGTAGCCAGTTGGTGAGGCCCCCATGGATAACTTGAACCAGGCGAACGTCACGAATATCCATGCCTGACATGTCGCGCAGGTTGCCATGCGGAGTGTTGGCAACGGTCATGGGCAGGCTAAAGTTGTAGAGCTGATTGACATCAAACATGCCATCTCCAGGTGTCCAGTCAGGCGATGGTGTAAGCCAGGCTTTCTGAGGGCGAACCGGTAGAGCCGCAGGAGGTCCAGGTGGCGGTGTAGGTTGGGGAGTAGTGACCGGTGGTGGCATCACGGGTGGCATGAACTTCGTTGGCGTGGGGTCTGGAGGGATCGGCATCATGTAGTTGATCGCTGGGTGTTGGAATTGCTGTGTGGGGCTGTGAGTCGATTGAAAATTGGTGGGCATCATCGGGAAATTGTTGGCAGAGTTGTAGCCGGAATTGTGTTGCCAAGATACCAGGTTGTTCCAATCCATGCCCTCCGAGACCTGGTTGTCATTGTGTTCACGTCGGCGTGCTTTACGAGCTTGAGGGGAAGGACTCCGATCACGTCTGCGCCGAGTCCTAGATCTGTCACGATCATCACGTCGAGACATGATGGCGCAACCAACTCACAACCGCAACTCCACAATCTTGAGAGAAACGAGTCCGACAAAATGCAAGTCAATGCAAGTTCAAGTCAGCAGCCATCAGCAGCACTGGTGAGACGTCTCTATGATCTGACGGCTGTCTTCCCTTTAGTGAAACCTCGTTCCTGGTTAAATGTGAAGTTCCGCTGTTCTATGATAAGTACGCTGAGGTCAAATTTTCCGACAGAGCCGGCCCGGGGTCACACAATGGGTACACCCGAGGATTCCCCACGAATGGGGTACACACTTGAACTCCAGATGGAGAGTGCTAATCTTTCGAGTACAACTGATGAGTTTCGAGTACAACTGATGAGTCTCGAGTACAACAGATGAGTCTCGAGTGAGTGAAGGTTCGGCTTGCAGTCACTTGGTTTCCGTCTAGCTGCGAAAACGTTACAAGGTTCAACATGAAGCACCCACAGCGAGAAAAACAACGGGCCAAGAGGACTTTGAATCACACGAGTTGTGCAGGTACGCGGAGTTGATCAGACTCCGTATCCTAGGAGCTTGCAAAGAGCTTCGTTGGGCAGAGCTTTGCAAGTCCTCTCTGCCCCCCTGCTGAAAAACCGAAAGGGTGGTGACAGGGCATTCTGTCACTCCGCACACACACACACACACACACACACACACACTTGACAACACACAACAAATGACAACCACAATAGCCACAGCCACAACCAGCCACAACCAGCCACAACCTCAACCACGGCCAAGCAAACGAGCCAAAGCATGCCTGCTTTTTTTGTCCGCATTTGCGTGCCTTGTCGAGGCAATCCAGGCTGACAACGAACTCGAAACTGGCGAGTGTACTCCTGGGCCGCCGCCTCACCATCAAGGGCTCCAGCTGACAGACCCGCGCGCACTGCCAACAGTCCTAGCACGCGAGGCTTAGTCACAAGTCTTTCGGCAAAGCGGTACCACAAGTCTCCCAGTTGCGCTGGGTCCGAAATATGGTCAAATGCCCCGAGCCCAGTCACGCTGTCTTACAAGCTGCAGGCAATCTATCTCACGTTGTTGGTGACTAGCGCTTGTGTATTCCTTGGCCAGGCTATTTTTGGTGACAGAGTAAAACGTTCCCTGAGCACATCGCTCATGGAACCGCAGCCTGAGCTGCACGCAAACCCCAAGCAAGATGATCAATCACCACCAAACAAGCAGCTGAGTGGAAAACAGTGGCACGTGTGTTCTGAGCGTGTGCTGCATCATGGTTTCGACCTCGCTTTCATATGCTTTCCCTGTGGCAGTGATTTGAAAATAGCCGACTCTTTTGCACTACACTTTTGCAGCTGAAAGGAATTGCATACTCTGATTTCAAGCAATCGATTTTTAATGAGATTGCTGCAGTTAGCGCAAAGTGTGGAACCCAAGCAACATCGTTTATACATCGTTTAACAAGGCGACCTGGCCTGAAGAGGAGGGACAGCTTGCTTTCCCTTCACAAGGCATTGGTCGTTCCACAAAAAAATTACCAAGTCCTCCAGGTCATTACGCACCGCCACCAGCTGCCACAAGCGGAACCCTTGCTTGCGGCCCATAGCTGGACAGCAGGTTCCTGGACACTGGTCACCTCTTTGTGGCTCATTCCTCTTGTTTTGTCAAGTTCATTTGACTACTGTGCCCACTGCGACCGCTGTGGATTCTGCTTGTGGGCATCTCTTTCCAACCGCGTCTTGGCGGCGCGCACTGCTAAATCACTGGGCCAAGACCTTGAATTGCGCGCAGCTCATCTCAGCTCGAGCCAACTTCGTTGCGTCCAAACTCCGAGCCCAAGCCTCACTTTTTGGTGAGCTGAAAAAGGCGAACACTTTTTCCTTTTTTGAGGGAAACACCAAAAAACCGATGGGGCTGCCTTGGCCAGAAGCCGCGACAGCAATCTCGGTGTCAGAGATGTTCACGTCCTCGGCCGGACAAGGCTTAAGCAAGTTTGCTCTGAAAACCAGAGCCCCAAACAAGTTGCCAGCAAGTCCTGCACTCATGAGACACACGTCACAGGTGCATTTTGGCCTGAACGCCCAAAAACAATGCCGCCCCACAACCGTTTCCTGACCAAGAAGGAAACGTCTGCCCTGTGAAAACAGCATCTAGGAAAGAAGCTCTGCTGGCCCATGCGGTGCGATTTCATGGCAAGGTGTCTGCACGCTTCAAAACCTACAAGACGCACCTGGCCCAGCGATTGGCCGAGGCACAGCCTTGCTGGCGTCCGCTTGTGGCATGGGTGCCTGGCACGCCATGTGGCCGAGAAAAGGGACGGAACGTTTTGAGGACCGTCTTGAACCTAGGAGGGAGAAGCATGCTGGCTTCAACACCCCAAAACCCGCCGTGCTCCTTCAAGGAGGAACCGGGAAGTCAGGGCGCCAAAATACACAAAGCAATGACCACCTTCGCTGTGCCACAATGCAAATGTATTTCAAGGAGGAGGATGCCAACAACACATGAACAATTGTGTTGAAAGTCATTCCTGCTGACAACCAGCGTGACAGTCGCCAACAAGCACACACAATTGCAAGTTTGCCCTGGTAGCAAGGGGGAATTTGTTCAATGCTCAGCGAAGTGTCGGCACAGCCTGGCTAATCCCCAAGTTGTCGGTCCATGCGGCCTATTTGCAGAACTGACGCTTTCCAAGCAGTGAAACTTTCCATGTCGCCAGGACCTTCTACGGTCCGTAGCCGATCCAAGCATTCCTAAAGCGATCGCTACAGTGCGCCATGTCCAAAGCGTCCGTCTGGCTCGTGCAGCCCAACTCAATGCGTTTGTTGGCTCACGCGACGCATGGGCTTCGAGTACGCCTTGCGTAGCGATTAACTCTTGGAACTTGAGCAAACTATGTTGAAAAGGAAGAGCTGACGCGCGATTCGATGCTTGGAAACCATGCTTCCTCAACATCTGCTTACCCCTCCCGACACAACTTGTGCTTACACATAGAGTGGACAGACACCACTCTTCCCAAGCGCATGCACAAGGAAGCAACCAAGAAAGAAAGCAGCCTACCGAGCACCCCCCTAAGCATCGCAAGCGGACCCTACGAGCCTCGAAGCGGAAGCCCTCCTCAGTGGTCTTCATAGACCTTGGAGGCCGAGCTGCTAGCCCATGCCCCGGCCATCCCAGCGCAAGCGACCCCCATGCAAAGTTTAGAGCCGGAGTCATGTTTGGCCCATACCCCTGTGGCACCCATCTTTGCCGGAAACCCGAAGTTCTTGCTGCAAGACATGATGCTGCGCGACCTAAGGGGCCGAGGTGATGGCCCAACAGCGTCTGTCAAAACCAATTCCAAGAAGCCAATGCTCATAACAAATATCGCGGAATTCGCAAAGGGGCCCAGCAAGTTGGCAACTTCAAGGGAGCTGTTTTGATGTTCGACTTGGCCCTGACCAAAGTATTGAACCATGAACGCAAGGCCGGATGGGCAGCAACAAAAGGCCGCAACAAAACCTGCTCTCTGAAGCCTTAGGCGGAAATTGTGGCTTATGAACTCAAAAAGGCACGCAGTTGGCGCAACATACCTAGTAGCGACACAGTAAGTGTAGACTAACGAGCCGCATTTCTTGAATCATCACCTCAAGTTGATAAACGGGTGATCTTTCCTTCATTTCAGCCCTGTGGATCGGGGAAGGGCATGCCTTGCTTTGCCGGCACAATTGGAGCAGGTACGTAACCCCACGGCGAAGAACAAGGACAGCCAGATTGCAGTGCAACTTGCAATGCAGGTCTCAAACTCAGTGCAACACTGGGCAATATCCAAACAAGAAGCGATCGATTCAGCGTGCCAACTTTCTGCACATGTTTGCACAGGACTCCTGCTTTTGATCAGCCATCTTAAGTATTTCTGCGGCATTGTAGCACAAACAGCAGCACGCCAACATTTTGCTGCGCCAAGCCCTTTGGGCCTCGACTCAGTCGCTAGTTCATCGGGGTGAGATTGGTGCCAAAACACCATGCCTATCTAGATCAAGTGGGCGCTTTCAAGCCTCTGGGCTTCAGCGTCCGGGAGGAATCTGCACAATCCTCCGCTTTGGGCTCAACGCTTGCCACATACCCGGCGTTAGCAGCGTTTTTCAGCTGACTGGCACTCATCTTACCTGGGGCGCTGGGAGGTGTGCGCCGTTGCTGCGTCAATCGACTGGATGTCTTCAGGGCCTTGCGTGTGGCCTCGAGGCTATCCTCCGTAGAGTCGCTGCTGGAGCTATCTTCCAGAACTCGGGCAATCAGCCCGGACCGGTCCTCTTTTGCAATGACAGGCGCCACAACGGTTTTGCCTTCCCTGAAGAATAAACCGTAGCCCATTAATGCTAAATGCACCTGGGCGTGTCTCCCAACAACAAAGTAACAAAATGGGTGGACTCTTTCAACAAAAAACGGCAATCTCCCTCCAAAATGGACACCGATCCAGCATAAAGTAAGACCTTCCAGAATCAACATTCTGCTTCGAAATGATTCGAAAGTTAGGCCACCACCTTGAAACCGCTGTTTAAACAACCTCACTTGGCTTCTCTCTGAAAGGACCGGTGTATTCCGCACATTTTGCACACCCCGGACTTTCGCGATTCCTTCGAGCGAGTCCTTCTCCGTCGACTCCTTGGGCGCCATGCCCATGATCGCATCGTCGAGGTCATCGGTGCCAAAGAGCCGCTGCGCAGCTTCCCGCCAGCTCCTACAAACTGCGGGTTTTGGGATTCGAATGAATGCGCCTGAGCCAAAGAACGCAAACAAATGCACAAAGGCACCTTCGGGCATTTCGTTCGGTCCAATTACGCGTGGGCTTGGTCGCATTCTGGCAGGAAGGACAAAGGCAGAGGATTCCCTAATGGCAGCGGCCTCTTCTACACATCGCATTCAAACCGAGACGCTGACTGGCATACGCAGTCTAATTGGTCAATGTGGTAGGCGGTTGTGGGCAGTCATCGGGAGAACGGCCCAAAATGCCACATCCAATGATCAGGGCGCATTGGCTTTTGCACTCTCATCACGGATGGGAGACTAAAGGACTAAAGGCATGATCCTTACAGCCATCACATGGGTTGACACCAAATTAATCAAATCAATGTCATTACTGCCAAGTTGTGGCATGCAAAGGATTTGTTCGCAACCATCTCAAGAGCGACAAGGTTCTCTCTCTGGAACATTCCGCTCAGGGGTCGAACAAAGCTAACGGAATGTCAATGGGCGAAGCTATGTATGCTCGCCGCTATCGTTTTGACGAACTTCGGATTCACAGGATCTTCTGGATTTATCAATTAAAGGTCACTCCCCTAGGCCCTTTGATCCATGTTAGCGAGGTTAATGTTCTGATTTTCATCCAAAAAAGTGGTGCACATTGGGTTCATTAGGCCAGGCTTGAACCTTTCTACTGTTCCAACTTGCGGCTGAATAATTAATATATTGTTTGACGATGGCCTCATGCATGTCAATCAGTGTTTTAATATGCCCCTTGATTCCCTTTTCTTGCAACACTTGTTTACCAAAATGCCACTTCACATGCCAATGCGAGCCATGATGGCACGGCGTGGGCCAAACAAACTTCAAGATGCCTCATGCACATACAGCGAACATGGTCAACAATGAAAACACTAGCCTAGTGAAGAAGAAATAAGGGTAAGGTTAGGGTGACCTTCGTAGCAGGACCGTCACATGATGGCTACACATGATGGCTACAGCACGTTGAACTTTGTTTGTGCCGTGCATCAACGAACAACTATATATGATGGATACACATATATATATATAGATATCTGTGTATATATGTATTTGTGCACCACGCAGAATCGCCAGAGCAAAATCGTGACATTCCTGGAGCAAACTAGACATACCAATGTCTGCGGCGCAACCAAACAATATAACCGTGGTTTTAGTCACTGTGAAGACTGCGACGCATCTCGAACGGTTGAGATCATGTGTGGTTCTGACAGCGGGCATAGACTTAAGATAATAGCGCATTCTGCAAGCAATCAGGCGTGGAAGTTTCATGGTCCTCGTTTGAAACAGCCATATCTGTCAAGTTAGTTGATGCCACATGGCTTAGGGGACTTCTCGTAAAGAGCCAAGGAAAACGCTCCAACAACCTCACTTTTTGCTGTGCTTTCCCTTGAAACCATTGAACCCCTCATCAAATCCCTCTGATTTCCTACTTTCTGACCCACGGAGCACGGTGCGTCACGAGTCCTGTGGCTCTCCGGCTCTGAGTCGGAGGCCTCGTTCCCGGAGGCCGACATCTCCGGGCCGATGGAGTCCGGGTCCACCGGTTCCACGAGGGTCTCCTCGTAGGAACTTGGCAATCGCAGCTGCACCGCCGCGTAGATCTGCTGTACCTAAGCGGAATTACCCCAATTTGGGTGCTCCATTTTGAGGCTGGGGACCAATTTGGGGTTGCAATAGAAACCACAGCTACCTGGAAGATTTCTGATTTGGATCCATTTGGAGCTTGGTAGAAAGGAAAGCCAGCACTTTACCTCGCATTCGCCGGACGGACGGAATTTCTGCTGATGCTTGCTGGCCCGATCATGATTTCATTGTGTTTCTGCTTGTATAAGACCTCCAGAAAACTAGACAGCTTTCGCCCTTGACACCCGAACAGCTGCCAACATCTGTCTTCTTCGCACTGTAGTGCAAGTGGGTGTTTTGGTTCTATGCATGTTGCTGTTGTCAGCATCTGCCTTGGCCGGGGCCCACCCAACAGTGTGCCGAGGCACCTGCAGGGCCCCTTTCCGCACGCCAAGCCCGGGCACCTGCAGGCGATTGAATTGCCAGCCCCGAGAAACAACCGCGGAAGCGCTGTCGCTTCCTTTTTAAAGGGGCAGTGTCTTCCGTCTAGGGGGCTTGGAAGGACAGCACTATCTATTACTATCTCTGGTGCCTGTACTTGAAACTCAAATAGGGGGACACGCTTTGCAAGCCCCTTCTGTATGCTTCCAAGTTGTTTGTTTGGACGGGCCCTTATCACAAACATTCTCCCTCCTCCTTCACTGGTCGTGCCGGATCTTCCGTCGCAACCTTGCTCTGTTCCTGGAGGTCTGGCGACATTAGCTCCTACTTCTGTACAGTGGAAAAAGTGAAAGCGCGGACGCCCTCTGAGGCGTGTCTTGCGAGTATATGTTTGTGGGCTGCCATGGCTGCCTTCGGATAAGTTCTCCACTGGGCTCTGGATGGTAGCTGCTTGAATGCTTGAACAGCAGTGCGTGCCTGGTGCTGCCTGCTTTGACTTGGCCAGAGCCCCACGCTTCAGAGTCATGCTTCTCTAAGGCAGGCCAAGCAAAACAAATGCAACTCACAAATACATCAGGAACCTGTTGCGACCCTTGTCAGCAGAAACTTTCTCACTCCAGGGCCTTCCCAACTGCGTATTTGATCTCAGGAACAAGTTGCGTCTCGCCTTTGCCAAGTCTCAGTATGCTGTTGCTGCCAAGGAGCCACTCAGGCTCGGCACATGCATGCACCACATCGGCTGGCTTGACAGAAGTGTGCAGCACCACTGGAAGCGGCGCCTTCGGGCACTTGCTTTCTTTCTTTCTTTTCTTTCTGACTATTTGTCAGTCTTTCTTTTTCTGCTTTGGGGAAGCACCCCCTGGCCCCAACTTCCCTCCCGGGGCGTTTCCTCTGTGGGTGGGACTGGCCTTCGATCAAACCCTCCCTCAGCTGTTCACTAGTGTCCGAGGCTGACAGCCCTCCCAACGTCTCTCTGCGAGCGCCTGCACCAAAGCCTTTGCCTCCGCCCTAGCCAGCTCCAAGACCTCGGCTCAAGGATGTGCAAAGGAGTTCCTGCCAGACCAATCGGCTGGCCAATGCAGGAATGGGTCGGACCTTTTTTGAAGTCAGCAAAGCAATCAACCAACCAAACAAACAAGCAAAAACAACTCAACAATGAATCAATAAATCAGTAAATCAGTCAGGCAGTCAAACCAAATCAATTCAATTCAATGTAGCTTCATTCATTCACTAATTGACTTATTCATTCAACGAATCAACCAACCAACCAACCAACCAACCAACCAACCAACCAACCAACCAACCAACCAACCAACCAACCAACCAACCAACCAACCAACCAACCAACCTACCTACCTACCTACCTACCTACCTACCAACCTACCAACCTACCAACCTACCAACCTACCAACCTACTAACCAATCAGCCCACCACCCAACCAATGAACCAATGAATGAATGAATGAATGAATGCATGCATGCATGCATGAATGCATGAATGCATGAATGAAATGAATGAAATGAATGAAATGAATGAAATTAATGAAATAAAGAATGAATGAATGAATGAATGAATGCATGCATGCATGCATGAGTGAATGCATGAATTGGATCAAATCACATCAACTCAAACCAAAAGAAAATCAAATAACAGAGGCAAACTATGTATGTATCTACACATGTCGGTCAATCATTGAATCAAATCAAATGAAATCGAACCACTCAATCACACACTCAACCAATCAAACCAACCAAGTCTAGTTCGTGTATAGGTAACAACGATCAACAAAATTAAACATATCAGTGAACTACACAAACACACATACAACACATGACAGTAGAAACAAGCTAAATAGAAAAGTAAACAGCACGTGTACAGTGAGTAGACCAACAAATAAAACAAACAAGCAAGCAAGCAAGCAACATAGATAAACAAACAATCAGACAAGGCAATGAGCAATTGCCAGTGATGCCGGCCTAAACTTGCCTGCTGCACTGGCAGAACACAGAAGTCAGCCGCAGGGTTTAAATCATCCCCCGCCAGTGGCAAAACAAGCAAATCGTGCCTTAGAACTGCTGGGGCATGACGAAAGTTCAAACGACAAATGAGACGTTGTCCCAAAGCCTAGGTGGCAAGGTGTTTTTCATCAACAGAATTACCAACGCGCCATGTACAAAAACACAACGCATTCCTTAAGGGACTGCTCAATGCCTTCTTCGAAAGATTCCTGACAAGCTCAAGGGTGATATCCTGCTGAACCTGGACTCCAACCGGCGCACTGCATTGTTGCCCTGAGTCGATGCCCTCAGAACAGAAGCTCCTAAACAAAATGTACAAATCAAATTATGCTGCAGTGGCGGCACAAAGCGACACCAGCGTAGCGTTGACTAACCTCAACACATTCGCAATTGGGCAGGAGAAACGCAAGCTGAGAGCAACACTGAAGCAGCCAACCGGCGCCGGACGGACACGTCAGCAAAGTCAGTTTTCTCCGACACCTGCCAAAAAAAGGCTCCCCGAAGCGTTGGTTCTTTAAATTGCCGCATTTCTGTGATGCCTAGAACGGATATGATATATGCAAAGGACATTTCCCGAGTAAGAGAAAGACCCTCCTCATATCCATGCATGAACTCTGCATTACACACCCCGGCTTGCCCGCCAAGGAATGCAGGACAACTTGGTGCAAAAAAATGCCGGAACCACCGCATCCGGCCGTGCTGCAGTCCTGGGCCGCGCGCATGCAACAGAGCTGAGTTGTCTGGCAGGTCCCGGCTTACCAGAAGCTTGGGACAAGTGGAAGCAGCGTCTGTGGCGACCTTCAGCAGCGGCCAACCGTCTACAGCCCGGGCGTGCAACATCCACACATCTGCACGTAGGCAATTCTAAAGCCCATCATCCTTGAAACTGACTTTGGACTTTGCAGGAGCTTCGACTGCTTCCCTTACTTGGTTGCAGGGTGAACCACCTCTCTGTCTGCATTCTTTCTATATATTTTTTGGGGGGGCCTGTTGAGAGACAAACGCAACTGTCTGCCCAACTGCACGTGCAGCCGAAGGGTCTGGCAGCCCTTCACAGCGTACATGGAGGAGTTACCGGAGAACCACTCCCCCGAGTTGTCCTTGACAAGAGGGCTCCATTTCGTTGCTTCCCCCCCTAGACTTGAACCCAGGGCTCTCCTTTGGTGCTGCGACGGAGAGATAGCAAGCTCAAGCAGATGCAAGGTGGCAATCGTGGGTGCTCGGCCGCAAGCAAATCACCTGAATGTGAGAAAAACACCCCCCCTTCCTACTGCGGCTGCAGCTGGGCACGCCTGGAAGGGATACTATATATAGATCGACCGACATGTCCTCAATTTACTGTCTACTCCAAAGTGGGGCATTGTGTTCTCCTAGGTATTGTCAATTGACGTAGGCACGATTGGGGAAATCCGCAAATGAAACCTGGTCAGCACAGTTCTCTTGAACCTCAGCCCACGTCCTCCCCTGAATAGACGGTGGCCATGGCAAATGGATTCTCGCCTCCGCGCATTGTGTGTGTGTGTGAGCGTGCAGGGCTGAGCATGTTGTGCTGACGCCCATTGCTCTGGCCCCAGCTCACTTGACCCCTATACGGTGGGCTGGCACCAAAATGCAAAAGCCCCTCTCCCAAGAGACACCCCTGCATCCACCAAAAGGTTGCTGGGAGGCTCACGTGGTGCCAGCGCAAACTGGGACCCGATGAGCGCCTTGTGCACGGCCACCTCTGCCGTGAAGGTGTTTTAGTCAACAAGTAAAGAAGGCTTTTTCTCAACATTTGCATTTCGCCAGGCCACGTGCAAACAGCCTTCAAAAGTCGGTCATTGCAAGGAATTTGAACGCATCTCAAGCCCCACCTCCCCTCGGAGGTCCGCATAGTCATTGGCACAATAGAAGACGCAAAAGTAACCCCTCAGTCCGGATCCATAAGCGGGCAAAAAGATGTGTCTGTCAAGGACCCTTCAAACCTAAGACCACAATTCGTTGGCTCAGGTCGATGGTTTGGTTCCGGGTCAGTGGATGGCTCTCCAATCAAGCTTAGGAACATCTAGACTCTGCATCGCGAGCTCCCACCAATCGCAACCACCGCAAAAGCTTTTGCAGAACAAACCCTCCGACCCTGCAGACCCTGCCCAACGAGATAGGTTCAGCAAAGCGGCCTGTCCGCTAGAAACAGCAAGTCCTCGTGCAAAAGCAGCGCGCCAACACTTCTACTAGCCCCTTCTATCACAGGTGGTTTTTGCTGCTGCATTTCCCCCCCCATGTCCCGAATGGGTATGCTTCCAGTGCAATCCGAAGGTGTTGAGCTCCATTTCAATGGACGCGGCAAAAACAGGAACACCAGTTTTGCTCAGACTACCCAGGCACAGGAGCAAATCAGTCCGGCATCCAGCTCCACAAAAGCTCATCGCGGCCAGAAGCGACAAAGTTGCCAAAGCCACCGTTGAAGACCTTGGACAATTGAAGCCTTTTGTTTCGTGCCATCACTCGAACGTGCCCTGTTTCATACACATAAGGTTTCAGTCAAGTTGCTTGGCGATGTGGGTGGGGAGCTTGGTTTTCTGGTTCTTTTTCCAAGCTAGTCCGTCACTTTCTGTGCGCAGTGGCCAAAACCTCCCGCAAAGTTTCTTACAACATGCGGCCAAGGCGCGACGCACAATGCGTTCCTTGGGTCCGCATTGATGCCCGCTTGCAGGTCAGAATCCAGAGACGCGGAATCACAAAACAAAGGCCAAAGAAGGAACCGTGCGTCACAAGTCCCTTCACTCACAAGTGTTCAAGGGCTCAGGAAAAGCCTCAGCCACCGAAACCTCCTGAATGCAGCCCAAAAGCTCCGGCAGCAGGTCCTCCCTGCGCTGGAAGAATTGTTTGGCACAAGGCGGCCTTGGAACAAAACATGAAGCGGCATGGTAGCACCTCCAGTCGCCAGTGCCATCTTCGAACTCTATGAATGGTCCCCGCTAAGCCCAAACCACTCGAGAATTCGGTTTGTGACTCTATCAGAAGCCGATGCCACCCATGGTATGCCTCAACCTGCAGCTTTGCACATGCTGTGTGCAAACACCCCGCGGCCGTCAGATGCCAAACCTCAGATAGCCTCATCCCGCATGCTCAGCCTCCAGCTGGACGGCGTGAACTTCCTAGGCTCAAGTCCAGGAGGCTAGCATCAACCCCTGACATGATCCCCTGCTAGCAAGGAAAATTGCATAATAGTGCCAATTGAGTGTAGTCCATGTCCAAGTCGGCTTGATGCCACTCAGAATGAGCAGCTGGCGAACCATTTGGCCATCCAAATTCTACACTTTGAGGCAACCACGGCGTTGCATGCTTTTCCCATAAACATTTTCGTGTTTACATATAAATATATATTAGTAGGTATTCAGCCAGCAAGGGGAGATGGGCTCCCAGCCAACTGGGGCAGAACCCCTGGGATACACCCAGGCGCGTCTGGGTTCCAACCATACTCCTCTTAGCATTAACCCAATCGGAGTTTTCAAACAAAAGGAAATCCCAATCCGCGGCATTCCTGTCTTCAGTGCTTGGGCAAAATGTCAGGCCTGGCACAAATCACAACCACCATGGAGTTACCTGCCTGACTGAATTGCCGGTTCAAGCTGAGCAGCAGTAAAACATAGTCAGACAACGCACTGTGCAAACTGAAAACCGCCCCAAAGTTCTGCAATGCCACCAAATAGACTGACATAAGCTTCTCTTCTTCGAGCGGAAATCCATCAGACCCTTGTATGGGGACCAATTTCCCGCTTGGTCTGAAGCTAGCCCTCGTCTCTGAATATAAACGGCCTCCGTGATGCAGCCGAGCCTCCGCCCGCCCTTTCGAGCTTGAGATCTCCTGTGCCGAGCCAAACAAACCGCGAACCAGCCTGTTTTTTGTTTGCCAAAACGGATCCGGTGAATTTTGTGAGGTCAAGTGAGCTCTGTTGGAACCCCCCCTAATTTTCCTTATGTCCCCGATATGATGTGGTCAGTCTCATGCGGGGCGGCCTCATTTTGTTGACATCCTTGTAAGAAACAACGCTTGCAACAACAACTATCGCAAGTAAACATTGGCAACTCCGGCTCGGAAGTCGCAACTTTTCAGTACAAGTGTAGTGAAGGAGATACACTTTGGCAGCTCCGGCTGGAAAGTCGCAACTTTTCAGTACAAGCGAAGTAAAGGAAATGCACTCTGGCAGCTCCGGCTCGAAAGTCGCAACTTTTCAGAACAAGTGAAGTAAAAGAATTGCACTTTGGCAGCTCCGGCTCGAAAGTCGCAACTTATCAGCGCCAGTGCAGTAAAGGAGATACACTTTGGCAGCCACGGCTCGAAAGTCGCAACTTTTCAGCCCAAGTGTAGTAAAGGAAACGCACTTTGGCAGCTCCGGCTCCAAAGTCGCAACTTTTCAGTACAAGTGTAGTACCTGGAGATTCATTCTCCATGAATTTCCTGGTAGTTCTCGGCTTTGACTTGCTTTTCGTAAATCTCGATGTTTTTTTCGTGAGGTCGTCTAAAACTACCAAAGCTCCTATATTAATTCTGAGATTTCAGAATTAGTACGGTTTCACGTTTTCCCCGCCCAGAATTACCCGCAAAACGCCCGCAAAAAGCCCGCAAACGCCCGCAAAACCCCGCAAACGCCCGCAAATCAGACAAAGACGTTTTTTAGGCTCGGGGGTCGCGCAAAATTCCTAGAAACCACTTAGAACGCCCAACACGCCCAAAACTACCAGGAAACTAAAACGCCTAGAAAAAGGCCGGAGAATGAATCTCCAGGTAGAGGAAACACAGTTTGGCAGCTCCGGCTCGAATGTCGCAACTTTTTCAGCACAAGCGTAAATAGTAAAAATATTTACACTTTGGCAGCTCCGGCTCGAAGGTCGCAACTTGTCAGTACAAGTGTAGTAAAGGAAGTACACTTCGGCAACTCCGGGTCGAAAGTCGCAACTTTTCCGTACAAGTGTAGTAAAGGAAGTGCCCTAAAGGAAGTACACTTCGGCAGCTCCGTCTCGAAAGTCGCAACTTTTCAGTACAAGTGTAGTAGAGGAAATACACTTTGGCAGCTCCGGCTCGCAGGTCGCAACTTTTCAGACCAAGTGTAGCAAAGGAAATGCACTTTTCGCAATTCCGGCTCGAAAGTCGCAACTTTTCAGCACAAGTGTAGTAAAGGAAGTACACTTTTGCAGCTCCGGCTCGAAAGTTGCAACTTTTCAGTACAAGTGTATTTGATAAAGGAAATACACTTTGGCAGCTCCGTTTTGAAAGTCGCAACTTTTCCGTACAAGTGTCGTAAAGGAAATGCACTTCGGCAGCTTGGGCTCGAAAGTCACAACTTTTCAGTACAAGTGTACTTAGTAAAGGAAATACACTTTGGCAGCTCCGGCTGAAAGTCGCAACTTTTCAGTACAAGTGTGGTACAGGAAATGCACTTCGGCAGCTCCGGCTCGAAAGTCGCAACTTTTCAGTACAAGTGTAATAAAGGAAATACACTTTGGCAGCTCCGGCTGAAAGTCGCAACTTTTCAGCAGAAGTGTAGTACAGGAAATACACTTTGGGGAACTGCCTGCATTTGCTGGTTGGGACAAGCAAGTGGATGTCGTTCTGATGTCGTTCTGATGTCGTTCTGATGTCGTTCTGGCTCGGCATGAACCGTGGGAAAAAACTGGGGGATGTACAGACAACGGCATCTTGCAAGGCAACATGTCAAACATGCAACGCGGCCATCAAACTCCGGCTGGAAAGTCGCAACTTTTCAGCACAAGCGTAGTACGCGAAGTGCGCTCCGGCAGCTCCGCCTAGAAAGTCACAACTTTTCAGTACAAGCGTAGTACGCGAAGTCTGCTCCGGCAGCTCCGGCTAAAAAGTCGCAACTTTTAAGTACAAGCGTAGTACGCGAAGTGTGCTCCGGCAGCTCCGGCTGGAAAGTCGCAACTTTCAGTAACTAGAGCACCCAAACCCTGAAAAAAGGCAGGGTATGCAAAATTACCAGGGCTTAACGTTGAAAACCTGGTTTCTATAAGCAATACGACAAATACAGGGTTAGTGAGACCGCTTCGATTGGAAGGGGTGGGGGGGGGTTCTACTTCAATCTCAAGTGGGGGAGGAATTAATCAAGGAGGGGTTGTTGCCTTGGGTTGGCGGCCTCCCCCCCCCCCCTCGGGAAGATGTTAAGGGGGGGGGGGGCTTGAAGAAGCGCAGCTTTATCAAGGGAGGGGGGGCGGAGGGGGGAGCCTTTGAATAAGCGCAGCTTCATCAAGGAAGGGAAGGGGCCTTGATCAAGCGCAGCTCTAGCAAGGGCGGGGGCTACACGTGTTAAAGCACCATGCACAAACGGATCGCCCAGACTCTGCAAACAAGAAAAATGCTAGTTAATGAAGCCCCCTCCCGGATGCAAGCCCTCCCCCTTTCCATCTTAATGATCCCCTCCATGCTTAGTTAATGAAATCCCCCCGTCGATTGAGTCGACGAAGCCTCCCCAGCCCCCGCCCTTCGACCCCCCCCCCTTTCGCAACAAGCCGCCCTTTCCCTTAACGACCCCCCTCGCCCCCTTCCCGTGGATTTATTCCCCCCCCCCCCCAATTAATGAAGAGCCTCCCCAGCCCCCGCCCTTCGAGCAACAAGCCGCCCTTTCCATTAACGACCCCCCTCGCCCCCTTCCCGTGGATTTATGCCCCCCCCCCTCCCCTTGATGAAAGCCCCCCCCCCCCCCTTCGATTCATGAAGCCCCCCCCCCCCCACTTTCATGAAGCTCCCCCCCCCCCCCTCAATTAAGGAGGCCCCCCCCCCCCCTGGATGAAGGCCGATTCATGAACCCCCCTAAAGGAAGCTCTCCCCTCCGTCCTTAATGAAGCCCCCCCCCCCGCGATTTCTCCCCCCCCCCGTCCTTCGATTCATGAAGCCCCCCCCCCCCTTACTGAAGCTGTGCCCTCCGTCGATTAATCAAGTCCCCCCCCCTTGAAGAATGCAAGTAGAACCCCCCCCATCCCTCTATCGAGCGGGCCTGGGGTTAGTGCAGGCTAAATATGGGGTGTGTACGGCTTAAATACGGGGTGCATTTTTTACAACCGAGTTATTCTTTTGCAACCAAGCGATAAACCCAGGTTTTCAGCTTACACCCTGCTTTTCTTCAGGGTTTAGTCGCACTAGGTACAAGCTTAGTACGCGAAGTGTGCTCCGGCAGCCCCGGCTGGAAGTCGCAACTTTGCAGTACAAGCGTAGTACGCGAAGTGCGCTCCGGCAGCTCCGGCTGGAAAGTCGCAACTTTTCAGTACAAGCGTATAGTACGCGAAGTGTGCTCCGGCAGCTCCGGCTGGAAAGTCGCAACTTTTCAGCACAAGAGTAGTACGCGAAGTGCGCTCCGGCAGCTCCGGCTGGAAAGTCGCAAATTTTCAGTACAAGCGTAGTACGCCAAGTAGGCTCCGTCAGCTCCGGCTGGAAAGCCACAACTTTTCAATACAAGCGTAGCGCGCGAAGTCCACTCCGGCAGCTCCGGCTGGAAAGTCGCAACTTGTCAGGAACGTAGCGCGCAAAGTATGAAGAAGGGATTACTGCCGCTGGGATGTCGTTTCGGATGTCGTTTCAGATGTCGTTCCCACTTATTTTGCTATGGGCGGGCTCCACGCTATCAAGTTGATTCAGAGGCGGGGCGGCCTCATTTCGCTGCGTGTGTCAAAAACCTGGGTCGCTGCAATACTAGTCCTCTACTAGGGGGGTTTTAACGGAACTCAAGTGGAAACAGAACCAGCGTACCGCTCAAGACCCTGAAGCTACCAATGTAACCAATCGCAGCCCGGCTACGTTCTTCAACACAGCTTCCGCTCACATAACATAACAGCTCATGTCGATAGTGCGATTTTCACATTTTGCAAATTTGAAGAGTGGACGTGCAGAATGAACCCTTCGCAGGAAACATTCAGCCGAGCTTCTGCATGTGTAAGGGGCATGCTCTGCAAGCCCTATTTCCGCAAAAGATGCGTCCGCAAGAATCTGCGGCTTGGGGACAATCACCTGTCCAGTGCTACCAACATGGATCAATTCCCATGACTGCTTGGTCATCTTTGTGTAGGCCCAGATTCCCACAACCATGTGACTCGCTGCCAGGTTTTGAAAGCTTGCTTCCGCGAACAGCTTCGCTTACTGACTTTGCATGAACCGGCTGCTGTCTTGGCCTTTTGTCCAAGAGAAACAAGACCACGCCTCCTGCAGAAACCTTTGCAGCCAAAACTACACTACTTGATTCTGATGTGTCCAGCTCTTTACCTTTCTTGGGCGCAGCAAATGCCAGTCCTGCAGAGCTGGGGGGAAGTGTCGAACGTATAGGAGCTGTAGTTTGGAACTCACGTACCCATGAACTGCGATGTTCTACATCTTGCTCTTCAAGTGCATGTGTGTGTGCGTGTGTTCGATCAAGTTACCTACTAGTTGGCTGGCTAGTTTGCTAGTAAGGTAGTTGGACGTGCAAAACTCGAAGTAAAACATAGGTTGTTGGGAACTCCTGAAAACTCATCCTATCCAGTTGAACGTCTTCGGAATCAACGTGGTCCACGCCAGTGCAATCCAAACGGCCACCAGTGGATTCAATCTAAGCTAAGGAATTGCATCATGGCGAGCTCGTTGTACCCGAATCGGTGAACTTGCAACAACACAGGCAAATCTATGCTCCAAGCTCACCTGCAAGCACACCTTTGCTTCACGTTTGGGTGGCGCCCACACTAACCGCAGCTCGCATCAGTTCGCTTTTTTGGGCCCCGGCGGGGCCGACAAAGTGCAGCTGGACCTGCTGCAGCTGTGTGAGCTCCTCAGCTTGGGGCAAAATGCCAGTGGAGCCCAGAAGGTCTGGGCCTGATAATGCCCACAGAACCCTTTCAGTGCTTCCACCAGGCAACCGTAGGTTGAGGCCGTGGCCACGAACAGCCTTGCCATGCCTTGCCTGTTGCTTGAATTCGCTTGGGCTTTGCAGCGGTTGGCTGATGCTCATTGTGTCTTCAACCGCATATAGGTCGACCCCCTCAATTGCCCTCAGGTTCCTGAGGCTCTGTAGTTTTATTGCCCACCCAAAGATTAACAAAAGGCAGTTGGGACATAGCTGCATGCAACTCAAGGAGCCCCCCAGTAGTCCGACTCCTGGCGCACAGGTTCGGAGATCAACGCCGTCGCCGATACGCAAAGAAGACGAAAGAACATGGGGTTTGCCCACTGATTTGCCACCACCCCCGACAGCAAAAGGCAACACATACGAGATTAGCATGCCTGATCAGTTGGATCAGTTGCCTGCACAGACAATGACACCTAATTGCCTCCATTTATCCCCACCTTCCCTCAAAAGATCGGACACCCTGGCGACAAATTATCCATCTATGCATTTCCGACATCGTAACATCTGCTTCCAGTTGCAAACGCTAATGTGTTGGAAAGGCTTGGCGACATGGACACTTGCACGTGAAAGCTTTCCGATTGAGAGCACCTGTAAAAGGCAACGCGAATCCACAGATCAAAGAAACTGCATGCGGCTTGGGTCACTGAAACAAACGGTGACCCAAGACTCTGCTGCAAACACAGCAGTTGCTCCATGATGCGGACGCCACACGATTGGAATGAGTGTTAAATGGGAGGCTCCCGTTGGTGTCCAACTCAAAACGCAGCAAGCAGAGCGGGGGGGCTTGTTTGATCTAAAATCATGCCAGGCACCCGCACCGCGCCTGTAGAACTCTCACCTTGCAGCGCGTCAGCGCTCAACCCCACCGATGCATGCAGTCTGTGCAGGGCTTTCTGCAGAGCTGCGCATGGTGCCATGCGCAAGCTTCAAAGGGCCATGCAAAAAGGACAAACGGGGATTGCATATACGATGAGATCAACCTGAGCCGTCTGAACACATGTCACATGTAGCGACGGAAGAGTTTTTTTCCGTATCCCCACCCTAAACCAACCGTATACGAACCTAAAACCAACCCTAAACCATCCCTACACCAACCCTGCACCAGCACTATACCATCCCCAAACCACGCTAATTCAACCCAACACAGACCCCCTAAGCCACCCTAAACCAACCCAAACCGGCCCGAAGCCAACCCTAAGCAACTCCTAAAGCAACCCTAAACCAATTCTAAACCCACCCTAAACACATCCGAAAACAAACCTAAACCCACCCTAAGCCATCCCTAAACCATGCGACACCAAGCCTAAGCAAGCCCCAAAGCAGCCCCAAAGCAGCCCCAAAGCAACCCTATACGAACCCCAAACAATCTAAACCTACCCTAAACCCATCCTAAAACCAACCTAAAACCAACCTAAACCCACCCTTAACCAGCACTAAGCCATCCCTAAACCATGCGACACAAAGCCTAAGCAAGCCCCAAATCCCAAAGCAGCCCCAAGGCAGCCCTGTACGAACCCCAAACCTCTAAACCCCCCAAACCCACCCTGAGCCAGCGCTAAACCATCCCTAAACCACATTGAGTCAACCTCAAAGAGACCCTCAGCAAACCCTATACCAACCCTAAACCCACCCGAAACCACCCTAAACTCGTATGAAACCAGCCTAAATCCACCCTTTTCCAACCCTTTAGCCACAACAAACCCTATTCAACCCACTCCCAAACCAACTCTAAACCAACTCCACACCCACCCGAAGCCAGCGCAAAACCCACCCTGGACCAACCGTTAAACAAACCCTAAGCAAGCGCCATACCAACCCTAAGCAAGCCCCATACCTACCCTAAACCAACCCTAAACCTTCCAAATTCGCCAAATTCAGCCTAAACCAAAGCTTCTGGTGATGCCGGGGGTGTTGAACAGGATGCTAGGGGTGTCAACCACGATGCTGGGGATGTTGACTGTGCTGGTGTAAAGCTGGTGCATTTGTTTGGAACTACTGTAAAAAAACGTCATTTTGGTGCCCGCCAAATCTAGGAACAAAAAGCAAGTAGGGAGTAGGGAGTAGGGCTGATTTAGGGTGAGTTTCGGGCTTGTTTAGTTTGGGTTTGCTTCAGGTTTTGGGTTGGGGTTGGCTGGTTTTGTTGTATGAGGGAGGGTGTAGTTGTGGTTTAGGCTGGGTCTAGGGTCGAAAAGCCACCAAAAACACGTGCAAGGAAAGTAGTGCATGTAACCCATTGGTCTAGCGTGGGCAGCTGACCGACCGACCGATCGACCGACCGACCGACCAACCGACCGACCGACCGACCAACCGGACCCTGCCACGACCCGGCCCGCCAAACCTAGGGAAAAAGCGTGGCCCCAACATGTATCCTGTCAACATAAATCACCAACATTACCCTTCACACCTCATTGCATGTGAATTCCGCCTGAAGTGCATATAATTGGCAAGGCTTTCTCAAGCCCATGGAGCAACATGCTTCCCTCAGGTCAGGGGGCAAAGCGCACACGTTCCGAATGAGCCGCGTTCGAGAGTGGGAAGTAGGCGCGCCTCAGCCTTGGAAGTGGCACCCAGGACGACCACGTGCAGCTCCCCGCTCCCCTCGCAGCGCACCTGGTCCAGGACTTCCTACTTGAAGAGTTGTTGAATGTTCACATATGCTGAAACCAGGTTCAACTGGCATCCAACATCCCTAAAAGAAACCAGGGAACCTTTGAACATAGAGCAGCAAAGTCACGAGACGTAGCAAGGCTTGAGGCATCCCATGATCCCAAGGAACGGGCCAAGGACTCCTGTTGCAGCAGCCAGGCCTTGGCAGCTTGCGAGTGCACACAAAGCAAAGCCGTTCTCCTGAAAGAGTGTTGTGCACTATGTTTGGCGTCCGTCATCTGGATTAGGGCTTCCATGAGGCTACTCAAAAAACGGTGTCTGATGTCTGTGAGATTCTGTGAGTCCACTCTGCCTTGAAAGCTGTAGTCACCTGACAGCGTGCGGCCAGCAGCACACACAGGCCGCTCCGGCAGCACGGATTGCCAAGGCTCAGGCCAACGACAGGGGGAATGACAATGCGTCCAACATGATGGCCTCGAGGCCAAAGATCCCAATAGCATGCAAACAAACATATGCAAGGCCAGCACCAAGCATTTCTCATATGTCAACATTGCACTCATGGTTCATCCCTCGAGCACTACGTCTCCAACCCCACTAGCGGCTAGCAGCTGCTGCTTGTGCTTAAGTGCTCCGCATTGCTCCTAGCACTTTCCACCATGTCCTCGCCCCCACGCTGACGCCTCAGAAACTCACTGACCACTCCAAGCTGCGCCTTGCTTCTTGGCACTCGGGTAAAGTGACGCCAAGAGCAGCCTGCCCCTCCTCTCCTGTGGTTCTCCGTTTGCTATCTTCTTCCGTTGCTTGCTCTCTGTGCCGAGTGCCCTGCAAGTACGGTCCCCAGCCTGTGCAACAAGAAAGCACAGCGGTTCGAGGAAATGGAAGCCACCTTCGAGACTGGCCTTCCGGCCATTCCTTCCTGACTCACACTGGCAGGGGCCGTCAGCCCAAAAGCGACAAAACTATTTCACTCCCGGTAACACTTGGAAAGCTACTATCCCCCTGAAAAGGAAGGGAGAGCTTCCATGTTTGCGGGTTCACCATGTTCACCGCTTGACTCTTGGCCCCGAGAAACGCCCCTGCCGTGCTCATCTGCCCAAAAGGGCCCCGCCTTTGTCCGAGACGGAAGCTGCGGAAGGCCTACCCGGAGGTAGCGTCGGCCTTGGCGCGCGGCCCGGATCCGACAAAGACTTAAAGTCGCAAACCACAGCTATAGCACAGGCTTTACATGGCACGACCCCCCCCCACAGTTTTGTAGTAGCAAACCTGTGGCAAGACATCCACATGAACTTGGTTGCCTCTCAGGCATTCTGAGTCAGGGGCAGCGACATGCGAGGCGGCCACCTGAAGGTGCCTCAAGGGCTCACCAGCATGTGTTGAAGCCACAGTCAATCAATGTTCCTATTGTTTCGGGCCTCCACTCCCAACTGGGCATAGCGCCCAATTCAAAAAGGCCTGACAGGGGTCCAGGGGATTCTGCTTACTTTGTTTTTTGTTTGTGTCTTGTTGAGGGAATTCATCTGTGGGACGTCTCTGTGCCCCAGTTGCAGAGTGTAATGTTAAGTCAGGATTGTTAGACTTCGCGGCTTGTTCGTGTGAAAGGATTCCCCCAAAGTAGGACACTCCCCCCCAAAATCACCTGATTTTCTGACCTCTTGAACCATCTTTGCCCCTATCCCTCAGCCCGCCTGGAGACCAACCGTCATCTGCAGCAGCATCCATCTCAGCACACAGCCTAGTTGGCAAAAAGCATGGCTGCAGTTTTCCCATGCGAAAAGGAAGGCGGTCACCACAACACGATCTTCTTGTTCGTGGGTGACTCGAGCGCAACCACATAAGGCTAGCATCCGCGGAATGGCTCTTGCCAAGATTTGATGAGCTCTCAACCAACCGTCTGAGCGTGTAACTTTGGCTGAGTTTCGGCTGCTTTTTGCAAGTGTAACCAACAGAAACCAGTCACTTTGGGAGTCCCCTCATTTTGACACAAAGCCATATATAGATGCAAAGCGAGCCGCTCAGCTGTAGACACGATGCCCTGCGAAAGCTGCCTGGGCTGCGTCACATTTGTAAGCCCCGGTGGCTCATAAGAATAAGCCCTTCAGATCAAGTAGTTGGAACACCCGGGTCAAACCTTGAGTGTCTGCGAAGCATTTATCAAGGGTACTTTGAGGTCTGGGTTTTGGAGGTATGGATGCTATGATGCTATGCATATCAAATCCCTGGAAAGTCCTCGATTGCAACGGTCCACTGTGCCCTGGGTCCCCTGAAAGGAGATTTCTCGCATGTGGCGTCCTGGGCATGTCCTGGCGTGTGTTGATAGGCAACGGCGTTGAGCCGCTCGGATCCCGCTGCATCCGCACTGCTTCAAACGGTCGCCAACTCTGATCCCGTAGTGCTGTGCTTGCAGAACCATCAAGGCGGAGTATGATCTCACAAGTCCTGTCACTAAGCAAACCTATCTAGAGACTAGTGCAGATTTTCTAAACATGAGCAATGTACGAGTTCAAATTGCACAATTTGACCATGACCTGGCAGCGTCGCAGAAAGTTCACAAACCAAGCTGCTGGAGCTGCTGAAGTACTGTTGGTGAGAAGGCACCGCTGTCTGGCAAGCGCTTGCGCTGCTTCCAAAGAGGAACATAAGCCAATTTCAGTCTCGGTCACACAGCAAACGATGATTCTCACCCAATGGATGACCACTAGAACCCTGAAAATCGGAACTAAACGTGTTTCAGCCCACGTGGGATTGGAGCAAAGTGAGGGGTTCAAAGGCGTGGCGGCAAAGTACCAAGTACCGCTTGGGTATATGCTGCCCGGCCTTGTCTACCCCTTCTACCGGGGTATACGCCTCCCTGATGCCCGTGGCCACAGAATCAAACTTCCTAGGCGTTAAATTTGCGTCTCAGACCAGGCCTGCGGCTTGACGTGCAGCGTCCTCGGCCTCCCGGGGCGCTTCGCCTGGCCGATGGGGCTCAAGGTAATGTGCAAACACGGATGCACCTGTGCGTCAAGTAAGGCTTCGCGGCTGGCAGCTACGTGTCAAGGTACCTCGCTTTGGGATGCTGGCACACCGCAATGCAATTTCATGCCTGTGAGTAGATATGAGTGCAAATCTGCGTTGCATGGTCTATATGATGTCATGTGACGTGGCGTGTAATCCCAGTGACTTGGCTGCCAATCAAATATGTGTGCATCAGGAGTGCACGGGCAAGACACACTCACCGCAATCTGCATTGGTAACTGTCCAAACAACCCTGAAGTTCGCGGCATGGGATTTACCTGCGCAACATTGGCAGACTCAGCTGCAAATATGGGGTCCGTGCGCCATATCAAGGCGCTTGCTTCCGTGCAAGCAAACATATTATCCTGCGTAGCGCAGCCAACCATTGCAAGAAAAGCACTTTGATCACGACTTTCAGCCTCCAGCTAGATTCCATTAAAAGCAACGCCAAGAGGACTCAAGCTGGATTCCACTAAAAGCAACGCCAAGCAGGACTCCAAAACCAATAGACCTGGAAGTGCCGTACTGCATTCAGCATCACTGGTCTAGGGCAGCCTTTTGTGGATCCATGTCTCATTGCATTATCGGATCAATAGTATCAACAAGGTAGTGCCCCCACTGCGCAGTCTGCGTGCGTCCACTGAATGAGTGACACAGCCGCTTGTGGAGCTTGCAGGGTCCGGATCACGTACAGCCACACACACACACACACATGCCCGTCGCCAGTTCCGCGCCAGCATTTGCCCATCTGCACAGCTTTCACATGTAGCACAAGTGGCTTGTGCATCCATGCCCTCTCCCCAGCCCTCCCCACCAGCGGCCACCAGGGCAGAGCGCAGCGCCCGGATCTTGGCGAGCCGATCCGGCCGAAGCGTTATCCCGTTCTCCCCCAAAACGCCAAGTGCCAGCTCATTGCGTCATTGTGGGCTTTTGTAGCAGTCCGTTCCAAATGCCCTCCGCCCCGAGGCGTAGGCTGTGGTTCGACTATTCGCATGCCTTTGACACTGGCTGCAAACAACAGGGTCCAACCTGGCGAAAGGATTCAGCTTCAGAAAATCGGGGTGATTTTGAAGAATCCGCTCAACGTCTTGCCAAATGTGGCACTCTCTAAGCACAGCGCAGCTTTCAGCAAAGGCTCCCCGTCATTGCCCACACGCTTTGCCAGCGCAACCTCGAGTGCAAGTAAGTCCGCTCACAACAGGATTCGGCAACTGTGTTTTAACAGTCAACCCATGAGGTTACCAGAAACCACCAGCAGTCCCACTTCTCATGAACATAAGATCCAGGGCTTCATATCCCCCTGCCTGGCAGTGCAGGGGTCCCAATTTCATTGATTCTACAAATAAGTTCCACCCAACATGTTGGCTAAAATCATTCAGCACCCTACGTGCATTGTGATCAAACAAGAAAATCACTGCTGTTGATAAATCCACTTTTGCAGACGCCGTTTTGAGAATTAGTGGAGGTGCTTTACTCTGACACCACCTGCATGAAGCCTAGGCCTCGTATTGGGCGTGCGGCCTAGGGGTATCGAATACGACATTGAGGAGCTTTGCGGGGCACATTGTGGATTCTACCAATCGGCAAGCACAAAGCGAGGTACCCCTTCCTAACCCTTCTGGGTTGGCCCCTAAGTAGCTGGGTCGCCGGCTGCCGCCCGCGCATCTGCCAACGCCGCCTTCAGGACTTCTGGTTGTGCTGCCAGCCTTGGTCGACATGGTCGAAAAGCGACATCCTGCGGGAAGGGCAAGATTGAACGGGCATGAAACATGCACCTGGCCTTGGTCCTAAGGTTTTGGCTACTCTTGATTTGTGGGTACAAATCCTTCTGGAAGTAGGCAAAAAAAGTCCCCTGCCTTCCGCCCCGTGGCTAGGTTGTCAGGTTGTGCCAGAACTAGGGGGGCCCGACCTCTGAGACCCTCAAATTGGCCATAGACGGGAAACCCCTAATCCTGAATCGTCCCTGCACATGAACTAAAATGAATTCAAATGGTTGCCCTTTTCGCATCCCAAGATCAGATTATACAAATTGCTTTTGACGAGCCCCGACATACCACTTTCCCAATTTAGTCCTGATAGTGGATGGCCTTTTTGGAGAGTCTTCCAAAAAGCGCGTGTCCACATGCAGAGAGACTGACCGGCTTGCCAAAGCACTTGCCCCTCTGGCGGCCCATCTCCGCCAGTGCCGCGCTTCGGCCGCACAGGCCGCTGCACAGGCCCGAGACATTGGCCTTGCCTTCGGGCGAAAGACGGCGAAACGCGCGAAACGGGCCTTGAGTGGTTCAAGCGGTCTCTTTCCCCTAGTTCCCTGCGTAATAGGACCCCCCCCCGGGTCCTATTCCCAGGAGTTGTGAAGGGACAAAGGAAGCTGCGACTGCGTCACAAAGCGCCCAGCTTCAATCAGGGACAAACACAAAGCACGACGGAAGCTTGCACCCTGCTCTGAACCCTTCAGTATCAGCCAGGGGCCCATGTCAAGGTGGCATTAGGCTTCGCTTATATGCCAGGGTTGTGCTTGCTCCAGCAAGATAAGACTGCTTAGTTGTCAGAGCCCACGTTGACAAGCATGCTGGTGGGCACGTGGTGATGGCTTCAAATGAGTAGCGAGCAATCATGCCATGCTATGCCATGCTATGCCTTGCTACTTTTTTGACCGCGTGTGGTGCTGCTGCCGTTGGGCAGACAACAGCAAGTGGCTGCTTGGCAGTCACAATGCGCCCTGGGCTTAACCACTTGCGCTTTGCCACGGGCAACGCAAATCAGCTTTTGAGTTAGCACACCGGCAGTCACGGCTATGGGGCACCTCCCAAATCCAAATCGAAGGGATCCTGCAGTCACCCGTGACTTTTTGGAAGAAATGCTTCACTTCTTCAAATATGCGGCCACGAAATGGCGCAATGCATGCTTCACTTCTCTTCAAGAAGTTCGGCAACCATTGAGTGACCCGAAATGGGTTCTAACAAATGAACTCGTTTCGGATGCTTGAATCAACATAACACCGGAGAGAACCGAACCTGTCTTAAACATGTTTTGCCATCTCAGCGATCAGCGATCCCACATATCCATAAAGGCCGCCTTCTCCAACTCCGCCAGCGCCGATGCACGCGCCTGGATCACTTCGGAGTTGGTCTCAGGCCATAAGGTCTCCGCGTTCAGCACCTGAACTTCGTGTGGCCGTGGCAACTTCGGCTCTCCAAAGATCTTTGCGTTTTCCCTCCGGGACCTTTCACGCCCCAAACAGGTTGGTTTCCTTTTGGTCTCCTTGAAAAACTCCGCTTTTGGTGTCCCTTTCTCACCCCAACAACGGTGGTAGCAAGTCTGACACACGCAAATGGAAGTCAGCCCTGGCTTCTCCAACCACGTGTTTCGGAGGACTTCTTGTTCCCTTTGAAACATCACCCCACCGATGGCCCCCAAAAAAAGTGATTACAACTAGAAAAACGGGAGATCTAGGAAACCGTCGGTGGGAACCCCAGCGGGTACTCGAAGAGGGCCCCGACCTGGAGTGCCGCCCGCTGGTTGGAGGCGCGGCCCAGCGCTCTGGCCGCTTGCTCGCGGATTCTGAAATCGGCGCTCCTGGGAAAATTGGGATTTTGTGGCGGCCATTGGAAGCCCAAATGAAGCAAGCACCATCTATGTTCAACCAAACTGACCCAAAAGTGCGCTGTGGGCGGACTTGAACCCATGGCCAGGGCTCTGCAGCAGATCCGCCGCCACCTCCAGGTCACCTCCCAGCTGTACCTCCAACAGCGCGAAGCGAACCACCGCCTCGGCGGGGTCCTGCAGGTTTGCGGTATGGTTGTTCGAACAGGTTGAAGCCTTTTGCGGATGCAACTCATGACGTTCCATTCCCCCCCTCAACAAGAAACAAACAAACCGATTGGTTAACCTCGACTTTATCATCTCACTCGGCCCACAAAAACTAGGTCGAACAAACTGGGTCTAACCTTTGAGTTTAACAATTGGGTTTTGTGCTTTGAAACCAAAATTAGCTTGCCGCCGACTAAAATCCCAGTGTTCAAAACATTGGGTGTTTCACTAAGGGTTCCTCAGGCGGGATACTTCCCCTAACAGTAGGTCCCCATTCTGTCCACCCATCGTCCCTTCAGCAAGCACGTGCAAGCACTCATTGTCCGCAGGCGTGCCATTCTGCACGGGACGCTTGAAAAGAAACCGGCTGTTGAGAAGTCTTAACATCATGTCGCTCCCTTCCCTCCAAAACCAAATCCGCGTCCTTCAAACACTGCAGCAGCCGTGCGTTGAGGTCTGGTGGCTCCAGGCAGGCAAAGAGTTCAAGCCCGGCCAGGCGCACAGTGTCCACACCATCTGCCAAGGCAGCAGTGGCGACCTCCACAACGCCACCTGGGTTCAGCTTAGTGCGCTTTGAACTTTGGGTCCGGGGGGTGGTTTCCCATGTACATCGTTTGCCCAACTGGTGTTCAGATCCCGAAGCAATTCCAAGCCGCCAATTATTCAACCTGAAATACGGGGGTCTGGAAGGAAATCAACATGATCCATTTTTCGGGAGTGCCCTTTGGGGGAAAAACAAAGCTGCTTATCACCTAGCCACTGGTCTGCTGCAAGGCTTTAGTCGAGCACTCCCTCAAGGCGTCCAAGGCTGCCGATCTCACTGCAAGGTCCCTGTCAGCCGTTAGTGGCAGCAACTTCACGATACTTCCCTCCCCGGGCGCAACCAGTGGAAGCGCGGCAATGGCGGTGCAGCGACATGTGGTGCTGCAAGACTCCTCTATAGTCTTGAGAAGCATCGAGCTGGCGTCTAATCCTTCGACTTTCGGGATCTGCTGCAACAGAGCCTTGCAATCTGTTCTGACGGATGCGTCCAGACTCTCGAAGCCTGTGATCAAAAGCTCCAAGATGCTGGCATCCACCCCTTCGCATTGCTCAGCCAGTTCTAGCAGCAGCTGGTGCGCTTTCACGTGAAACTTCCGCTTGGGCGGCGCCAGCCGGTTGGTACTACGTCTCAAAGGCCTTCGAGGTAGGAGCACCTGCTTGCGAGCTGCCAGAAACAGAGCCAGCTGCTGCATGACCTTCGTCTTCGCGGATCTCTCGTCGCACTGAAGCTGCTGGGCCACCTGCACAGCTGCTAGCAGTGGCTCAGGACCCTCCAGCGCCAAGATCATCTGGGAGTTGTCCAGGAAGTGCAGGATGGCAGCATGCACCTCCTCGTCGCCTGCCAGTGTTGGTTCTAAAGGTGCCCGTTCTTTTTTGACAGAAAAGACGGAAAGCAAGCAACCTGGTTAGTCCCCCACCATTCAGTAAGGAGCCCCTAGTCTCCCTGATGCGGATTCCCTGCCTGCAGGGGCAATCTTTGCCAAGATCCCGAGAGTGGTTGTCGGAGTCTGGGTTGTCAACGCGTCCTCAAGGTCCAAGTTCTCAGGCCGAAGCTCTCTGCACAGGGCCTGGAGGCAGGGATTTCGAGCATCAGACAGCTGGGCAAACGCCAGGGCGACCTCATGCAAGTGGCTCCTCAGCTCTCACAGGTGCAACACGCTGACAGCATGTGGCAAAAGAGAGCTGGAAAAAACGGTTGGCCGTGCGCTAGAAGTTTGCTTAGCACTTGTCAGCAAGGCTGCTCCTCCGTCGGGCAGCTCAACCCCGGCATGTTGTGTGAGAATTCTTTACGGTTCCACGGACCCCACCCAAGCAGTCAATCAGTCAAGAATGCCGCTGTGTCACTTTGGGTCATGTTTAGTATTGGTGGACTGCTCTTCCTGAGAGTTTTCCTTCGTGTTTAATATTGGGGACCACTCTGCCAAGTGTTGTTCCTTTCGTGTTTAACATGTCGTTTTTTTACGGCCTTTCTTCTGAGCCGGGAAGGACTTTCCAGAGAGCACGACAAGAGTGGTTGCCAACGACTGTCAGAGCCTTGCCCGACAAAACTCGCTTGGTGGGACAGTTCTGGACAATCTGAAAGGGAGTTTATAAAGGGTTTTGATTGCTCACAGCTTTGCAGCATTCTAGATCATTTGGGCTCTGGAAGCTGGCTCAGACCATGGACTCTGGGATGTGTTGGAGCTGGCCGTGCTGCTCAAACAAGGACAAGGCAGCCGATACAAACTGTTCGCTGTTGCAGTTGAAGGGCTTGTTCGGTCTCAAAAAGCTGCCCTTGTGTCCTCACAGCTTGTGAGGGCGAGCTGATGTCAAAACTCCAACAACCGTGAACCTGGGCGGGAAAGGCCGCCGCAACGAAACTGCGACTTGGAGCTGAAGGCTGCCAGGAGTCCCTTTCAGATGTTCGCTACGCTCTGCACAGAGGGCTTGGAATGCTTCCACCGCCTTGCGCTGACAATCTCGCAAGCGCAAGGGCCTCCCTCGGAGGCAATCCCTCACCAGCCGAAAGAAAATCAAGGCTTGCGGATTCCGAACTGAAGGCAGTCTGGAGGCTTCGCCCGATAAGTGCTAGTTGAAAAGGTGAGACAGCCATGACACTAACATGGCACCTGTGAGAAGGTTTAAAAGGGACCGCCTGACAAATGCCATGTAAGTGGGTAGGAGGGTACTGAATTTTGAGCCCGACTAAATCCCTGAAAAAGAGTTTTCCGCAACAAGCCCTCCTCAATGTCCCTCCCAAATGGACAACAAACTACTGTACTTTTTCACTGAAACTCACTCAGAGGACAACTCACCTGGAAACAACCCACCTTAAGTTGGTGGGAGGCTACCCTCGTCCAGCTGTGCAGGTTCTGTGGGGTGCCTCGAATGCCTCACCTTTCTCCCCGGCCTGGGGATCCTCGTGCTTGGCCACGCGGGCGGCCACTGAGGCGGCGCGCGCCCTTTCCCAGGCCGCTTTGTCGGGCGCCAACGACGCCAGAAGGCCCGTGATGGCAGCGCTGTAGTCCCGCTCTGCGGCCTGGTGGCTTGACCCTTTGACCATGCGCCTCTTTTGGTCCGATCCAACCTGAACAATTGGGGGCGGGGAGAGAGGGATTTAAGAACCATGGTGGAGGGAGTTCCAAGTATTGGGTAGCCAAAGAGTGTGCCCCTCGTTTGCCCAATTGAACATTACCAACCGCTTGCCAAACCAACACGGAAGTGCAATAAAACCTTGTTCAACAAGGTGGCACGTCCGTGTGTGCAGCAGATATGACTTCTGTGCTTGTTCGACAGTTATTCTCCAGCCCGGATGTGGATGTTTGAACGGCTTCCTTGGCATTCGTTGCATCCACCAGCGGTTGATCTTGGTTTGCTGCACTGGGCAAAGCGTGGACAATGGGA